TTTTTTTTTTTTTTTTTTTGGCTCGTAGAAAATGACATTTTATCATTTCCTGGAGAGTTTTTAAGAGTGCTGAGTTGTTCCATGTTTGATGATGCAGGGAACTCGCGTACAATTACTTCACTGGTGCCTTGCCGGAATGGATTGGGAATTTATCTACTTTGCAGTTGTTGTACGCATGGATTCTGGTGGTCTTATGAAAGCATTTTATTTTACTCTAATAAATAACATTTATCTAAAACTTTCAAAATTTCCATGCCTAGTTTTTCTGACTTTTGGTTCCAGTCTTAAAAGTCTTTCCCGTTAAGAATACATGTATCAACCTGCTAATTACATCTTGCTTACTTTATAAGAAAAAGAGGCATTGACCCTTGATTATGAAGCTAAATCATTGAAGTGCTAAAGATCTTCAACACCGTGAAGTGAGGCACTTTGTGTTTACTTCAGTGTCTTATTTTATATACTAGCATTATAAATCATCATTTACACTGATTACTGTCAATTCATGTCACTTATGTTCTGATTATGGTGATCATGCTTATTCTGTAGGTAAAACTCATTGACTTTGGTCTGTTATTTTTGCTAATTCTTATTTACTAGTAATTTTTTGGATTCTGTTTTTTATGTCAAGGACTATTCATGCCAATGCATTCTCTGGGCCCATTCCTAAGGAGCTTGGAAATCTTAAGGAGCTAACTTTTCTGTAAGACTTGAAGAAATTCTACTTTGTCATCATACTGCATCAATTTTTTTTAATTCATTTTTATCTGCCAATGTAATGCATCAAATGGTTCTGTTCTACCACACAGATGTAGCCTCTAAGTTACATTATGCACGAGTCTGGTTCTTGGTTATTATGAAAGTGCCTTTCTTATAAAATGAAAAATGAATTCAATATTATGTTGAGAGGATCTGAAAGTTGGGAGAGAATTTGTTTTTGAGGGGTGATGGTGGAACAGGAAGGGGAGACAGCCACATTTCTAACATGTAAAATTAATTGTTGATATGGCAGTGCCTACTAGTTGATGTAACATCCTTTCACAATAATAACTATACTTCTGAATTCTGATATATATTGAATTGATGAATTCCAGATGGGATGATAAATAACTTCAGGTGTTCAAAATGGGTATCAGTTTCAACTATGTTTGATAGAAATGCAAGGGATTGTAGATAATTTGAGTGATTTGGGTCTTTTTATGATTTTAATATAATCTTCCTATAAATGGTTTCCAAGAGGTCCTGAGGCACTCATATTGTTTTATGTCTGATGTGAAGTAGTGATGCAATATGTTAGTCAAGTCACTAGAAGATTGATGGCATTGATTGAGACAGAATCTGTGTGGCTCTTCTGAAAAGCTTTGGACATTTTATGTTGATTAAATTTCACATGAAACCCTCACAACATTCCTTCTTTTGAGAGTTGAGAGACCAGTAAAATCTCTCGAAAGATTTTTAATCTTCACTTAATTTTGATATTGAGAACTGCAATCCCTGTGATAGGTTTAAATATAACCCCATGTCAATTTTAATGGTTTCTCTTTCTCCATAAGAATATTTTATTTGAATTCTTTTATGCAGAGCCCTTAGTTCTAATAATTTCTCTGGAACGCTCCCACCAGAGCTTGGTAATTTAGTCAAACTTGAAACACTGTGAGTTATAGCTTTCTTCTTGTTCTTTGTAGCACAATAAGTTTGTGCAGTAAGAAGCATATCACTGGAGACTAAAGAGTTTTGGTTTATGAATGTGCAGTTACCTTGACAGCTGTGGAGTTGGTGGTGAAATTCCCTCAACATTTGCAAACCTTCTAAACGTGCAAACCGTGTAAGAAAGTCCCTGGGATCATGAGCTGTATTCATTTGTCTGCTTATGTTTCTGGAGAATCTCAAAATCATCTTCTCTAACCCAGTTGTTAATAGAGAAATTTTTGGATTTTAGGGGTTTATCAGACAGTCCTTTCACAGGGAAGATACCTGATTTCATTGGAAACTGGACAAACCTTACAGCATTGTAAGTTACAAATACTTCTTTTTCAATTTTTAAAGCCATTCTTTTTTAATTAGTTTTGCCTCATTTCTTCAACAGTGATATATATCTAGTTTGTTCTTTCTTGATTTGCCTGCAAAATATTTCTGTAGGACAATTCAAGGGAACTCCTTTGAAGGTCCTATACCATCCAGTTTTTCTAAATTAACCTCTATAAATTATCTGTAAGTAATTATCCACTTACCATTTACTCTCTCTCTGCATGCAAGATTTTGAAAGTATGTATAGTTTGTAACTTCTTCAATTCTTATTTATAATCATGCAGGACAATCCATGGTTTATCCAATGTGAGCTCTTCTCTCAATTTCATTAGAAATTTAACGAGTTTAACTAACTTGTAAGTAAAAACTCCATAATCATGTACAGAAACCTGCATCTCCTTTTGACTTTGTTGTGTTTGTTTTAGTAGTTAATTGACTAACAAACTTTACTCTTTTCTTTTGTTCTTATTTTCCTGTAGAATTTTAAGAAATGCATTAATTACTGGTAGTATTCCATCTGATATTGGAGAACTCAAATCTTTACAAAATCTGTAAGTTATGTTCACACTTTGCCTCATGAATATGTTGTCTACGAAATTTGCTTCCATTTCCTATATTAATTTAATTCCTCTTTGTTTGCCAGGGATTTGAGTTTCAATAACTTGACGGGCCAAATTCCGAGTGCTTTGTTCACCATAAGTTCTCTTACATACTTGTAAAGTCATAGAAGATGCTTCAAAATCTTGACTTATGTTAATTTCATCCTTGGTTTTTCTGGTCAACCTAATGCCATTAACCTGATGGTATTAATCATCAAAAGAAAAAAAATTCACTATGTTATATACTGTCAATGTCCAGGTTTCTTGGAAATAATAGCCTGACTGGTACCATCCCTAGCGGTAACAGTGTAAAGCTAAAGTATTTGTAAGCCATACCATTCTCAGCATTTCTTTATTTGAATCAATAACTTCTGCAAACTTTCTGCTATTGTACTTTGACTACTTTCTCATGCAGAGATTTATCTTACAATTTTCTGTCTGGAAGCTTTCCCTCATGGGTGAATCCAAATTTACAACTGTATGTAGCTTGAGCTTATTTTTCTTTTTAATTGATGTCACATTATTAATGCAAGATGAATGAAAGAAAAAAGTTCAAGATCTATCCCAACCATCTCCATTAAATCCTTGTCAGAGCCAGTGACCTAGTTTTATTCTCATTTTGGTACCTAACTTGCGCTGATGACCAAAATTCCAATGCTCAACTAAAAGTCCTCTGGAAGTCTATTTTGTTATCAAGAACCATGATAGTAATGTAGTACACACCTATGTATATCATTTCTAGAAAAAGTATCTGTCACTTTAAATTCATAAATGTCTGGATTGTCACAACAGCTATGACAGATGTTCATTTGTGTTGTTGCTTTGTATCATGTAGCAATCTAGTAGGCAACAACTTCACATTTGACAAGTCAAACATAAGGTGAGTTGTAGTTCTTAAATATCTTTCTGAGTTTTACTCTTCTATCCACTTAATCTAAAGGCATAAGAAAATTGGTTGCAATTTTTTCCACAATGGAAGGCATTCTTTTATAAGTTATAGCACTAATAAGAAATAACTATTTTATTTATTTTCAGTCTTTTTCCAGGATTGAATTGCCTTCAAAGAACCTTCCCATGCAACAGGAACTCTCCACGCTGTAAGCTTCTTTTGCTGCGTTGCCTTGAATTATAGCTTATACTTGGCATTATGCTGTAATCACAGAAAGAAACTTCGTGTAGTGGGGAAAAGGCATAGACAATTGTGTTTTAGAGTGTTCTTGGACTCTCATCAATGACAAATTATCCATTCCTACTTTCCTAGTATCAATAATTCTGAGATTGGCCAATTGAATATGCATGCCTCAATGGCAATTGCAAAGAGACATTAAGTTTGTCCTGCGAGAACTTGAAAGTAGTCAAAATTTACTTCTTGTTTTAATCTGTTATAAAATGATGACTTCAGTAACCTACTGGTGAAATTCTGTTGCTGGAATTTTAAAATATTCATGTTGGCAGATGCAAACTTTGCAATCAATTGTGGCGGGCCAGAGATGACTGCTGATGGGATAACATATGAGGCTGAAGACTCTTCTCTTGGCATAGCATCATTTAATGTAATTGATACTGAGAAATGGGCAGTTAGCAATGTGGGTTCTATTTTTAATGGAAATTTTGGA